GTACATTTGACAAAACTTTAACTTTAAAAAATGAGGAAAAGTATAAGTAAATTTTTTTATAATTATTCTGTACTCGTCGCGACAATATTTGGAGTCTAACTAGAGAATATGATTTTAATCACAAAGGAAGACAGCTAAGAATCTTGAACCGTTGTTAAAATTTCATCTTGTAACGTAACAACTAAATAATGAAGTACTATATTTAATTAATTCTAAATTGACTGTCAATTTCTCAAAGTTTCACTCAGACATTAACATCGAATCGTCATGTATAGCTACATAATTTGATTTACATCCTGTTAATACAATAGTATGGTTATATGATCAAACAACGTAATAAAATTGTATTTAAAAATGTACTGTGTCTTTAAAGTTTAATTAAATCGGCTTTATAGTCAAGGGATTAACGGGCCTATACAAAAAATCTAGGAAATTAAGAATATAATTGAATTCTAATTTTTCTGAGCTTTAAAAAATAAAATTAAAAACAAAAATTCCCACAAAAATTTCGCCAAAAAATCATTAATTGCAACTAATCCGAACAGGAGACTAAAGCTTTAAAGATTCAAAGCGTATTCGAACAGATACTTAAATCATTCAAGATATGCCCAAAAAAAAAAGTTTGAAACCCAGATAGCCTTTAAAAAAGTAAAAAATTAGTAATTTTTAAAACCTGAATCATAAAATATTTTGAATCATTATACATTTTTTGAGTTGAAATTTGTATGTATAGGGAATTAATTTAAATTTCTTACCGATGGAAACCATTTTTGATAAGCTGTGGATAGGTCTTGATGTAAATGAGGTCTATTTTGGCTTTTGGAACGACTTCTCAGAATTTTTTTAGTTACAAATTGCCCAACATTAGACAACGACTTGGACTTTTGCATATTGCTTGTTGCATTTCTTAGATCTGAAATTTTAGCAAAGATTATTTACATACAATCGCCTTTCACTAATTTAATAAAACGAGGAAACGCTTAGCTGATATTTCGATTATAAAATACCTGTTAATCTCATTTATTTACTTATACCTTTATAACAAGGTATACACTTTTAGAATCAGAATCAAGTGAATGGCATTTCGTTCATGGAGAAAGAGAGAGATAGTGATAAATAGATATTCAACGAACGATGTTGTATGGAAACAGCTACAAAATTGGGCATTACGTGAAATGCGGACCAAATTAATTTGTCCCCTTTGGGAACAGCTATACCAAAAAGAGTAAAAAAGAAAGCATGCACAACACATCTGCTACGACACCATTTCCGGAGTTTACGTACATAAAATTACGTACGATTATAAAATATATTGTAATACATATACATATGTATACTACTAAAGAGGATAAATATTGTATACATAGTTTGCCAGAAGTTTCTAACGAACAGATAAGAAGCATTCCCGAACCCTTTTTCGTTTGTTTTCGCAATTAAACCATTAATTTATATAAATACTTACTTAGATTTGTATGATTCAAATTTCCATGTTTGTCGTTTAGGGTGATTAAATTTGTGGTGCTACCGGGATTGCTGTGTCCGTGCCAAATATTCGAGAGAAATTGAGAGCTTGAAGTCAGCAAGCCGGTAGAAGTTTTAATAGTTCTTTCCAGTCTTGAATGACTATTCATGTTGCATGTCGAATATGTTGTGCGTGCCTTAATTGGGTTGCTAGCAGTCTGGAAATTTTCTTCTATATTTTGTTTCTGAGTTTTGTCCCACTCTAGTTTTTTTCTAACCCGTTCATCCTGCGCCTCCTTCCATTCCATGTGGGCGTTTTGCAAGGTTCTGAAACACTCGTTTCCACGAACATACTCTAACGCAATAAGAGGCCAAGCGTCTAATGTTTGAATAGCTTTATTTAAACCTTCATCCATTCCAGGAGGATTTATTTCACCCTTTGCTTTAATGTTTCTTAAATTTCTATCGTAGTTAATTGACTTAAATCGACTTGCGTCTGCACCGTTTACGGTTTTTTTTCTTGCCATCCTTAAGTACCGCTTGATTGTGTTACTTACAGATTGTGAAACATCTTCGTTGTCAATAGAGCTTTTTCTCCGCTCTGAATGCGTAACAGGTTTTTCTAAGTCTTCATCCAGGGAATATGGTGCAGAACTATCTTTGCCCTGCTGCAAAGTATGCTCAAATTCTTCTGCCAGGCGTTTTAGTTCGCTAAGCTGTATAAAACTTGTTTGTGTTCCGCATGTATTGAAGCTTCTTTCAATCCTCTCACATTTAGTTTTGCTTTTTAGCGACCAAAGATCAGTTGCTTGCGGAGCGATGCGGGCATCCAAGCTAAGTTCTTCTGGGGCCACACGCAGAATTTTTCTGAATTCACAATTTTCTAGGCTTGTCGAGTTCTGGTATATCATCTTATCGATCCTATGATAGTCATTTATATTATTCACTCCACTGGAAAAGCTTTTGTCCGAGCTGTTTTGGTAGCTATTCAATTTTAATAAACTTGAAAGTGAAGAAGCACGACCAATATTATGTTTTGGTGGTTCTGTGGAATGTAGCATTCGATGAAGTTGCTGTTTTTTTAGTGAGTTGAATATTTTTCTCAAAAGTACTTTATCTTCAAGAATATCTTGTCGTATATTATCTAATTTTAATTGTACTCCTCCTAGCTCAGCCAGGTGGGTTTCGGATAATAATTTTAAACGAGACAAGAGCTCCGTTTGAATTGACTTTTCACAAAAATTGGTCTTTAAAATATTTTCATTTGAATTTGTACCCGTATTACCAATAGGCCGCTGGGAACTTGGTGATGAAGTTTGATCGGGTCTAACCGTTTTGGTTCCCAGCAAGGTTGTTGTTTTGTACGCATCCCGTATTTTCAGATATGACTGCAATAGTTCAATAGTCTGATCGGCATTAATATGCTGATCTGTTAGCTCCGCTCCACAGCGACTACTACTTGCATGACGAGAAATTAGTTTGAACCGCCTCTTAGAATTGTTGATTGCCCCTGGATATGAGGTCTTTCGACGCCATAAAATGAAGCGGGGCTCGGAGCCGCACACTCGTTGAAATTGTGCCTCAATTAAAGAAATATTATCTGATCCACTCTGTGCTCCATCCGGAATAAGCTTGCGTCCAGAATCAGTCATATATCGCCATGTCTTTCGAGTCAATAGCCAGCGTTCTCGTTTTTTTTCTTTGTCTTTAGTGCTGCACCGACGTCGTCTAGATCCAGGAGAAACTCTTCCCAAATTCTTACTGGCCAAATTACTTGGCCCACAATATACATCTGAAGATTTGATTTTATTTGATTTTATCAAGTCTTTTTCCGCTGTTAGACTAAGCTTGTCAATTGCATCATCCAAAGGGCCTGATCTCTTTTTGATCACCGCTACAGGACGGCGCAAGTGCTGGCCTGATTTCTTGTTTTCTTCCATATTACAATTTTTAAGCGATTCTGATTCTGATACAGGCATCGGTAACTATGTGTACCTCACGTGTGTTTTTCACCGCGATTTCTCTATGGAGCTATAAAGGTATCCTCTTAATTATTTTACATGTCAAGCACCAATGTGATTGCGGGCGTGAAAAAGCCCCCTTTTATGTATGGGAACACAAATGTCCATATACATTCATCCTTATAAGAATTTATATATTGTATGAGCCATTTAAAAAACTGTGTTTTATGACATCGCAATACTCACAATCAGATGTAATCTGTTGCAGATTTGGTGAAAGATTTCATAATTATCGTCAGTTTATCCCCATGTTTGTGTAGAGATTATACGCGTGGTTATATATATATTTTTTTAATATACATATGTATACATATTGAGGGAGAAGAGAATAATTTATATATATGCGTATTTAAACACTTAAATGATGCCATTCAAAAGCTACGCGTACTCGTTCGTAATTACACTTGTAAAAGCATACGGATATTTATAAACTTGGATATTCTTATTTCATGGAATTATAAACACTCAGCATTTCACGATATCGCTATACGAATGTATATTACATAGATACAAGTATATAATATATGATTATGTATCAATGTGTATGAACATAAAAACAATAATATTCATACATATCGTATCAATATAATAAGCAAACATAATTCGCGATTTTAATAGATGCTTTCTATCAGATTTAAGGGTTTTTCGTGCCCGTGTCCAGTACGAGGTATTTCACACAATAAGTTTTTTAAAATGCTTTTGTAGATTACAATAAATGGAATAACCAACTAGTAAAACTGTTCAATATCAGAACTGGGCAGCGAGAATAACGTTGAATGCCTGAGAGCAAGTATAAAAAGAAAGAATACGGTTTCAAAAAAAAAAAATAAAATAAAAAAATCTGATTTTTCTTGAGAAATTTTTGTTGAATGTATTTATATACACACTGTATACATTTAAAGTTCTCTCTTTCGAAAACATGCACATATGGGTACATATATACATACGCATGGAACACTTTTTATAAATATTTCAATACGAAACTTGTACATACATACATATGTATCCGTATGCTCCTATGCATGTAGATTTGTATATATGTATGTATATTTATTAAATATATACTAGTACTAGTACAAGTATGTATGCAAATGGCATACCTGTTGTAGAGGGTTTGTGAGTGTCTGCGAGTATTTTTCCTTATATTCCAACTATTCCTACAATGTTAATATTATTTCAGACTACATCGCTGTTGTCTATTGACTAAAAACGTTGTCTGACAAGTAATAAAGATGTCGATCAGTCACTATAGGGTCAGTCACAAACTAACGCAGAGAGGATACTCTTGTAAATATACTTATTACCTAATGAGTGAGATATGTGTGATATGATAGAATTATCACTTCCAACCTGCACACATTTCCGTCAAAATTTTGTTTAAATATTTCGGGTCCCCACTTGTTGCTAGAGCTAGATTATAAATTTCAATAGAATACCTCTGTTGGGCTTTTTCGGCTTAGCTAAAACCAAGTGCACTAAATTTTGTGAAAAACATTTTAATTTTTCTTATTTGTGTACATATGCATGTATGCAAGTATTTATTAATAGTTTAATTACATATGACTATAGGAATTATTTTTATGTTGTATTTCTGTATTGAATAATTTTATAAACACGTTCTCTTACAATCGTTCCATTGGAATTGGCTTGTAATCTAGAATAAAAAAAGGAATTATTAACGTCATATCATACTTAATTTCAATTATTGCATGTGGGACTTTGGTTATTATTAAGTGTATTAATAAAGAAAGATAACATCGGCTTCCCGAAGTGTATGTACTCTCGAGGTTCGACGACCTCTTTCATTCTTTTTTCGATATGTTTTAGTCTGCGAGCATTCCCCTAACCGATGCAAAACTCCTGATCGTGACCAACAATTTACATTTCATGAATTTACTATATTGCGGTAGGTATATAGTGTTCCGATTTTGTGCAAATCTTACTGAGTTTCACAAATATGAACGTAATCATATATAATGCAGTTGTCCTAATTTGACTAAATATTTGTGACATATGCAAAATTAACATTATTATCTTATTAAAAGCACTAGGGTCTTGGCAACGACTTTATGATGCACATACATATGTATGTTTGTACATGAATGATAGAGTAATACAGATTGAGACCGCTAGAGCGATTCGATGTGTCAACCTTATCGAAAATATAAAAACATTCATATTTACATATAAGTACAAATATCGCAATATAAGATCTAAGTCTTCCTTACTCCAGTATAAAATATTTACACTGTGGTTTTGTACTATACAGTTTTTGAATACAAAAAAGATGTATATATTACAAATCCTCAAATCCTAAAAATGGTCATAAGTTCTACGCAATCAGGGTTACGACCTAAAATTTCTACATTCAATCATATAATCTGATTAAAATTGATCAAGAACATATGTTTTGTATTATATGTTTATGGGAATCGTCAGACACATATGTGCATATATGTATATTTTTCTATGCACATGCAAAAGTACAAGAATACATGTACAACATAATACTCGTATACCGTTATACACTACGAATATCGAAGATTGTAAATGATAGTTTACCTTAAAGTTAAATATTTAGAGTATGGATAGTTGCTTAGTTAGTCATCTCTCCTTTCGGCACACATATTCTGCTAGAGTTGAAATATTTAACAAAAACTTTATTGATATGATGTTTATCATGGCGGTGTGAGCATTCATCCCGATGGCCGCACTTGTCTGCATTGCAGCCGGCTGTTCGCCTGTAAAAGTATTTAAAAGTTTAATTTTAGTCTAAGCTCGGTGATTATCGATTAAAATCATTATAATAAAACTCTACCGGTCAATACATGAACCCGCACCGATGCGGGTATAGCACCATTAGGAACGCAAGTATAGTTTCCGGAATCTCGTAATGAAGCTCTTGTCAGCATTAATCGACTAGTAGTTCCAATATCGGTTTTTTCCGTTTCCAAACTTATTCCACCTCGCAGCGAATCAAAATCGACTATTGAAGAGCCATGATACCTTAAGGTAGAGCGTAACATTGTTAATAAATAGTATACAGTCCAAACACCCTTACCATAAAACAGATGATGCATGCATATTTACTGAGCAGGCTAGAGCAATAGTGCTATCGCGTTTAACATGGATTTCCGTAGATCCTAATATTTTTGCACGGGCCGCTATTAAGAGAAATATAATTTTATAATTAAATGATTACCAAGCCTCTTACCTCTTACCTTTTGAATCATAATACCGTCGATCCGAATTTAGATCTCTAGCTTCGCTCTCAGCTAAAATAAAAGAGAGTTGCGGAAATCAGAAAGAGTTCTTAAATAAATTTTCCTCTTATTGCTCCTATAAAATTCTAATTTCCAGAACCTGAGGATATTGCTTGATGGCAACACTACAAGGAACTCTTATTTAACTACAATAAACTACCCGGAACTCAGAGAATGCCGTTGCAGGTGTTTATCAAGTGCTACATACTCGTATATAACTTTTTCAAAAAGTTTCTTACGAGTACCGTAATTGAAATCACACCTCAAGTCGATATGCTGGGAGGAGTGTAAAGAATTGGATAGTTCCTGAATTTTTTCCCATTCGATCGTATATCTTTAAATCCTCTTTTTTTACTGACGAGCAGACCCCTAAGAACAATCGGTAATTTATGGAAAACGGTACCGTACCTGCAATATCCAGAATGATTGCTAAGTTTATTTTCGGCTCAGTATTAACTTGACACTCATAAATTCCGCTATCCCGTGGTTGGGCGTAGTCAATTTTTAAGTCCCAGTCCTCACTGCTGGGTGGGTGTATTACGGAAAATCGTTGATCGCCAGTATAGGTATAAATGTTAGTTGTTAAAATATGAAGGTCGCGCTTACGCATCCATGAAACCTGCAATAGTTTTGAAATTATTTATTTCAAGTGACAATTTTAAATTTAAATAAATTTTTTTTTTTTTTTGTAATACCTTAAATTAGAAACATTAATCTACAAATATATTTTTTCCAAGTTTCAAAGAGTGGAACAGTGCATTTTTACACATGTTACTCGAAGAGTATAGACTTAAATTAAATTTGTATTGAAAGTGGATGTGTATAACCAAAGACTATACAATACCAAGATGTTGCATGAGGAACAAATTCTTTTTCAATTTTCGTTTGACGCTTCATTGTACGGGCGCGCGGGGCTATTACTTCAATTCTCTTTTACGCTACCTTCGCCTCCGAAATGCTACTCGTTAATGCCTCGGTCAGTAGTAAAAAAATTGTATGAGTGCTTTAGATAAATTTAATGTACGCATCTAATAGAGAATTTTCCAATCGAATTTTCAAATAGTTTTAGTTTAGAAGATATAAGCACTCAAAGTTTAACATTTTTTCAGTGTGCAAATATTTATTGAACTCATATTCACTAACTAATTTAGCAAGCTGAGACGGCCAAAGGTCCCACTGTGCCGCTCCAAAGACATCGGCGATCCGCGACCACCGCCTCGACGGTGCTGAGAGCTCGAGAGTCCAGAATTGCCGAACAGACGAAACCGATGGGCAGCGGGGTCGCGGTAGAGACGAAGTACAGGCGAAAAGAGAATTGAAACCCCGCGCGCTCCCTCGTGCCTTTTGGGTCCTAATGTTAGGACCCGCCATAGAACAGCTTTTTGGTCGCTCATGCAACATCTTGGTATTTTATAGTCTTTGGTATAACACCCAGAAGGAAGCGTTTCCGACCCCATAAAGTATATACATTCTTGACCAGCATAAAAAGACGTGCCGATAAAACCAAGTCTTTCCGTCCGTTTGTCAGTCTTGTTTTACATATGATTTTTACGAGTATTAGGTGTTTTGCGGATGAATCAACTGCTCTGAGGAGAGCATAAAAACAAAACAAGATTGATTAGAAGTAATTTGTATTTGTGTGTAATTTCTTACAGTGCGATTTCCTTTGTTTTTGACACGACATCTTAAAACTGCAGTTTCATCAATGACAGCTGAGACATTTCTTGGGCTTATGTCATCGAAGAAAGGTCGATCCGAGCTTGCTAAATCTGAAATACGGTTTACACGTAAATATGTAGATGAAAACCTTAAGGAGTCTAAATGTGAACTCAATATAGTCTATATAGCTTACCATTTATGTTCAAAAATGAAGTTGCGCTTATATGTTGAACACATATATTAAAATTCAAAATCAACAAAATTATAGGTTTAATTTTGTTGAAGGAAAAATCCAAGCACGTTGATTTTACAAATGACGCCGCCATATCGGTCAATACAAGCGTCTTGAAATTGCAAGCTGGATAGTTAGCATGCCTGAAAATAAACGTAATATGCAACTTAAGTATCAAGAACTTTTTCAATCAAAGCGCGTACTTAAAAAACTAATTTTCACATCACATATGTACATATATATGTATGAATATTTATGTATCTGTACGGAACATATGTACCTACATATGTAGGTAAATATCTAACTGATATAAATGTAAAAGTTTCTCTACTGCGAAATGCATACATACATATGTGCATAAATAAATGTGTATACATTCATATCGGTTGATGATACGTAAGATTTTTTTATCTGACAACATTCAGATAAAAGTAGCATTCAACATATTGTATTTTATTGCTTAGCACTTCAATGTACTGTTTTTCTGAATTCTTATGATAGGGACTGGTCACGGCCGAAACTGCCGAAATATCGTTTTGTTTTACTTAATTTTGATTTTGAGGTATTGTACTGAAAATTCGCTCTCATTTGATTTGTATCGGACAAGAATTTTTAGCTTTAAGTAGAGATTTTTCAACCCCAAAATATTTTTTTCTATTAAATACTTGTGAGTGAGCTTTTATCAGGACTCGGTGGGTCGGCCTTCTGCGCCCTTTTTACGAATATTCGCGCAGGCGGACTACAGTGGTACATCGTATAACAGTATAACAATGAAATTGGCAATAAAACTAGAATCCAGTATATTATTTTAAAAATTAAAATCATAAAGTTGCAGTCGGTTGTCACCTGATATTTTATTCTAAATTCAAAAGGTCCCCGAGAGTATTTTTGTTGTTGCTTAAGCAGCAACGAGTGAAGCGAGCATGGGGAAAGAATTTTCTATTATGTATGTAGTTCTGATGTTTCAACAGGCTCGCTGCTTACTCGAGATGCTCCGTGTAGTAAGATCCATATCATTAACCAAATCAGGATATTTGGATAAATAAATCTATGTATGTAATAGAAAAAAACGTTTTTCCAAAAATAATAAAAACTTCATGAAATTTTGACTTGCACTTTAACTAATTCAAAATGTACCCGTTTTTATACCCGATATTCAAAATGAGTATTGGGGTATATTAGATTTGTGGTGAAAGTGGATGTGTGTAACGTCCAGAAGGAATCGTTTCCGACCCCATAAAGTATATATATTCTTGATCAGCATCAATAGCCGAGTCGATTGAGCCCTGTCTGTTTGTCTGCCTGTCCGTCTGTCCGTCCGTCCGTCTGTCCGTCCCCTTCAGCGCCTAGTGCTCAAAGACTATAAGAGCTAGAGCAACGATGTTTTGGATCCAGACTTCTGTGATGTCACTGCTACAAAAATATTTCAAAACTTCGCCCCGCCCACTTCCGCCCCCACAAAGAGCGAAAATCTGTGGCATCCACAAGTTCGACGATACGAGAAAACTATAAACGCAGAATCGTAGAAGATGACTATATCTTCTAGAGTGCAAAATCTGAACCAGATCGTATAATTATTATAGCCAGAATCACGAAAACAATTTCACTCTTTCTCGCTCTGTCTCACTCTAACACACAGGTTTCATGGACGGTTTTGCCAATTGCAAAATATGAGTTCAAGGATCTCAGAACCTATAAGAGCCAGAGCAACCAAATTTGGTATCCACACTCCTGTGATATCGGACCTTGACCGTTTCGTGTCCAAATTTCGCCACACCGCCTTCCGCCCCCGCAAAGGACGAAAATCTGGGGCATCAACAAAGCTCAGAGACTATTAAGGCTAGAGTAACCAAATTTAGTATCCGCACTTCTGTTTGATCTCACTATAAAACGTATATCTCCGAATTTCGCCCAACCCCCTTCCGCCCCCACAAAGGACGAAAATCTGGTGCATCCACAATATTGCACATTCCAGAAAACTAAAAACGCAAAATCATAGACGAGGGGGAACGTTGTGAGTTGCTGCGGACACCGCAACTCTACGGTTATACCCGATACTAAGTCAGTATGGCTCTCCTCCGGCAGACGCCGCTAATATTTAACGACACGACAAAGAGTGCGTGCGAGAGAGACAGAAAATCAGTCTGAGCGTGACGTCGGGCGCTGCGTAGCCAGTGCAAATTGGTTTGTTCCTTTTGGCTATAAAAATGATCTGATCTGATCCAGATTCAGCAATCTAACCTGTGTGTTAGAGTGAGACAGAGCGAGAAAGAGTGAAATTGTTTTCGTGATTCTGGCTGTAATAATTATACGATCTGGTTCAGATTTTGCACTCTAGAAGATATAGTCATCTTCTACGATTCTGCGTTTTTAGTTTTCTCGTATCTTTAAAATTGTGGATGCCACAGATTTTCGCCCTTTGTGGGGGCGGAAGTGGGCGGGGCAAAGCTTTGAAATATTTTTGGAGCAGTGACATATCACAGAAGTCTGGATCCAAAACATCGTTGCTCTAGCTCTTATAGTCTTTGAGCATTAGTCGCTGAAGGGGACGGACAGACGGACAGACGGACGGACGGACAGACGGACGGACGGACAGACGGACAGACGGACGGACGGACAGACAGACAGGGCTCAATCGACTCGGCTATTGATGCTGATCAAGAATATATATAAACTTTATAGGGTCGGAAACGATTCCTTCTGGACGTTACACACATCCATTTTCACCACAAATCTAATATACCCCAATACTCATTTTGAGTATCGGGTATAATAACCACCATATCTATCAGATTGCTGAATCTGGATCAGATCAGATAATTTTTATAGCCAAAAGGAACAAATCAATTTGCACTGGCTACGCAGCGCCCGACGTCACGCTCAGACTGATTTTCTGTCTCTCTCGCACGCACTCTTTGTCGTGTCGTTTAATATTCGCGGCGTCTGCCGGAGGAGAGCCATACTGACTTAGTATCGGGTATAGCTGTAGAGTTGCGGTGTCCGCAGCAACTCACAACGTTCCCCCTCGTTTCTTGATTAAAAATGTACTTAATTGTATGCGCATACTGCATTTTTCAGTTAATAACCATGTAACATAAGAATAATTTTTTGTTTTCTCTTGCGTTAGTTTCATTTACTAGTAACGTTATTCAATAAAAAAAAGGTCTGGTGCATAGACTATATATGTACATCGGTATACAGAAAAATCGTTTTTTCAAACTATCTAATATTTGGAGTATTTTTCTATTACTTACAAAAAACAGATTTTTTGTATGTTCGTTGACATAAATCTTAAAGCGCCAGCCGATTCCAGCTGCCTCTGCGGCATTTAGACCGATTTCCTCATTGCGTGACAAAAATATATGTATGGAGTTTGTCGGGTTTCCCAGACCGATTTGTAGTCGTCAAAAGCCGGTGGTGCCGCCTAACATAATCATCATTATTGTTCACTAGTTCCACTGCCCACTGTACATAAACGGCAGCGGTCGTTCTTTCGTTTCACTGTCCCACCTTCTTCCTACCTGCAGTTACAGCATCTAAGCCATTCTCTCGCGTTCTATCTATCGTTTGTGCTTCACTCTAACGCTCTCCGTCTATTACCCTCTCTCGCCTTTTTCTAGGACTATCTGCATAGTGCCCTGGTAATTCGCCCCGTCAGCCCACAATAGTCTTGAGCTGATCGTCATAGCTATCCTATCAATCGTTTTATCGTTCTTGCTGTAGTTGTAGTTGCATTTTTGCTTTCGTCTACCAATAAATTGTACCTAATTACATCGAACCTGCTCGACTTGTATTTAAAACTTTAACAAAAAGCTTAATAGCTTAACAGAGTTCGTTTTAAAACTTATGTACATATATATAAATTTCGCGAAAGGGAGAATCATAAAAACTGAAATAAAATGATTCAAGCAGCATTTAGTAGTGAACTTATGGATATCGAGGCTTATCTGCAAGGAATTTCTTTGGGATAAACGAAATTACTACAAATTTTATTTCATAAAAACATTTTTGTTCAGAAGTTACAAGTTATTTCGCAAGCTGAAATTACCAAAGGCCCCACTGTGCAATGTAATAAAGGAAAAGTATGTGTTCCAAATCTTTGGTTTGTAATTGGATTATCTTCATAAATTCGCATATTTCTGAAAAAAGACTACATATACATATGCATGTATGTGAAATGTATGTCTTGTATTGTTCCTAAAGTATATTGTTCTTAAAATTGTGATGATTGAATCTTTCTGTGCGCTTCGAACTTCTGTCCAACTTTGAAATACCCTCTAGATCGCAAATTGTTTTTTGCCCACAAAAAGTATTTGTTTTATTGCTTTCGTTTTAAAATGTAATGTTTGCTCTTTTTTTTTGCCTATTATTTTTTACCCCTACCCCTCCCGTGAACGAGATACAAAGATCGGATAGTAGTTCGGTGGTGGAAAGAGATAGAGAGGGAGATATTCAAAGGACGGTGCGGTATGAAAATAGCTCAAATTTGTCATTAGTCATTATTCCACATAAGCACATACGGAGTGCAATAACATTAGAGCGTGACTATCGCTCAAGCTAGCTCTTTCTATATTTCCGCCATCACCGTTGTGACTTTTCTCCTGACAGCCACCCCAAGGGCAATGACAGCTGCTGGTGATACACATTCGGTAGCCGAATTTATCACCTCAGAGAGCCTGCAAAGTCATTAGCTATTCCGATCCCACCAGTAAAGAGGTGCCATCAGAGGTACCAGGCCTGTGGTGCCAAAAATAGTTTGGACATCTCTGAGATGTCGTGTAGAAAGGATGAGCCCAGGTGCTGTAGCCTTCTTCTGCTGAGAGCTGGGCAGGAGCAGAATAGATGTTCCACTGTCTCCTCCTCTTCCTCGTCTCTACAGCTGCGACAAAAATCGTTATGTGGGGCCCCCAGCCTGTTAGCGTGGGTGCCTATTAGCCAGTGTCCCGTGAGGGAACGTATGACTACGCTGCACCTTTTCCTGCTTAGCTTGAGGAGCTCGGAGGTGCGCTTCATGTCCATGGTCGGCCATATTTGCCGAGTTGTGCGACATCGTGGCACTATTTGCCACATATCGTTTGTTAGTCGCTTGTATTGCTCTTTTATAATGAGCTTACAGGTGGCCATTGGCATACAGATATCCTCCTTGTCTTGGAGAAGGGGGATTGTAGTGCCAGATCTGGCCAGCTCGTCCGCTATACAGTTGCCCTCGATGTCCCGGTGGCCCGGGACCCAAATCAGGCTAATAGCAAATTGCTGAGCCATCTCGTGCAGAGATTTGCGGCAGTCTGCCACGGTGGCCGAGTTCGAGGAAATCGCACTTAGCGATTTGATCGCAGCCTGGCTATCGCTATAAATGTTTAGCTTGGTTGCCGTAACGGCAACCGCCCGTATGCTGCTTTACAGTGGTGGAGATTGATCTGAAGGAGCCTCAAGGACATCCTTAGTGTTCTCCACCACTTTCTCCCCGCCTTTGCTATCTTAATTACATGCTCGTATATTCTACCTTCTTCGGATATCTCAATCTATGAGCAGCACCTATCCGCTTTAAAAAATATGTCTTCCACGCTATCAGGCAATGATCATATAATAGTTCTTGGTGACTTTAACTTGCAAGGTACTGTTTGGTCTTCGGTAAACGAATGCCCATGTCACGACATGACTTTGTTGGAAGGTTGCTTGACTAGTACCAAGTTAACCATGTGAAAAATTACTTAGGTCTATTGCTTGATCTGTGCAACCTTTGCAACCTTGCAACCTATTTGCAGGAAAGCTATTCTGGTCAGCCGTACCCATTCGGTTTACCAAGGTCGAATGCCATTTGCAGCCCTTTGTCAAATGAATGCACTATGCTTCAGTTAAGCCGGTGTTTTCACAGGGATCTGACGGTGTTCCCGGCTTTATACTCAAGTACTGCGCCGAGGCTCTGTGTGGACCCTTGCTTAAACTATTGTCCATCGATTCTTCTTGCTTTCCCCGATCTGGAAGGAATCGTTCATAATTTTTGTTCACATGAAAGGAGCAAGTCTGATGGAAAGAATTATAGGGGCATTACCAAGTAATCCGCCATTCCTAAAATGATTGAGAACATTTTAACTCCGCCCCTGCAACATACCTACAAATCACTTATAACGCCAGATCAGCATAGATTTGTAAGGCGGGGATCAACTACCACAAATTTATTAGAGTTCACCTCTTTCATCGTTAAAGGCTCTCAGGGAAATTCACAGACGGATGTTATTTCCACCGAATCCACGAGTGACCTTTTAGGATTTACGCCCAACTTCCTGAAATGGATATCTAGTTACCTTTGTTTACAGGTCTCAACGATTCCTCTCAAAAAACTCCATCTCCTCACCAGTGAAGGTTACTTCTGGAGTACCACAGTGCATCCATTTAGGCCCCTTACTTTTTACACTCTATATTAATGACTTTCCTTCGATATTAACATACTCTGAAGTAGTCATGAATGACCACCCCATGCGGTGGTTCTCCTGAAAGAATTACTCTGGTTGATGATTTTGGTTTTATATTAGATGCCAAGCTAAAGTTTTTTGAACACATTTCTTCCTTGGTAAATAATAAGGCCATGGACGTGTTTGTGTTTAAATAGGTGGTCAAAGCACAACGATTTTAGAATACGGCTCTTGTGTACAAAGTACATCAGGACCTTCTAGAATCAGTCCAGAAGAACTTTATACTTTTTGCTGTGCGGGGCATTAACTGGAATTCAAGTGTGAGATTGCCATCTTACCCTAGTATATTGCCATTAATAAGCCTTCCGTCCTTAGTTAATCTTAGAAAAATTCTTGCTGTGATTTTTTTGCACAACTTTATCAACGGTGACGTAGATTTTGTTGAGCATAAACTTCACGATTCCTATTAGACTAGAGACTATGTACCGTTGTCCCCTCCCCGTTATTCCTTGCAGATTATAATTTACTATTCCAGGCTTACTATTGTTGTCATGCCGGATTATACTAGAAATAATTAGTCTCACAGTTTGTTTGGAACGGAACCTCGGAAGCAAAGCCTTCCTAAATAATACAAAAAACTGTCTGTCTCCATTTCTCAATCCGGAATACGAACCGGTTGTTAATACATTATAAATAGTCATATCATCATAAGGACATTAATGGCTGCTTTTCTGTCTGTGGCTGGTGTAACAAGCTTTGGCTATACTAACTATGATTGGGATTGACTTCATTACGGCAGTTTCATAACTAAAAATCTCAAGTATCGAATTAAATCTAACTCAAAAATGAATAATGAAAGTTTTTTAAGTTTTATTTCTAAAAAATGTATTTATGCAGCTATCAATGATATTTCCTATTTTTGCTAATTAAAAACTCGTATAGTATTTAAATCCAATTCTGTGACCTAGCGCGTCAATCGTAGCGCCTCTCTCCATTTCCTAGTAAGGATAAGTGTATGTGCTTTGTCGCCACAATAGTTCTCGTAATTTACGATTTATTTTTACGATGACGCCATGGCATTCCATGACAATGGCAATTGGTTAATATTTTATTTAACCATTTTTACCATACATCATTCATATATATACTGCTGCATGTACTAAATATAATACTTCCCTCATGTTTTGTTGTTATAATCTATCAAGGTATCCTTTAGTCATAGATAGACTTTTAAAACTAAATTTTTCCCATTTGATATTTTTATCAAATATGTAATAATAAAGACTTGTTTTAATTAACGACTGATTTTTATTATTATTATTATTTTATAGACGCAAATAAACAAACGCAATTTATATATTAAATAGAGAATATATGTAAATATCTATGTATATATGCATAGTACTGAATAAATCGTATCTATGTATGTACATATGTCGTAAATCGTGGTGTTGGTCGAGAAGCATACAGTTGGTTATACACGTCTAAAAATCCGAATACGGCATATTTCCTTGTGCTGGTAAAACGTTTTGTCCTGGATAAGTACATTGATTTTCTGGTTCCGTGACCCAACCCCGGGCGCAATTGTTAAAGGTCTGAGCCTGACTTGAGGAGGTTAGCCGCGGTACCGTACTGTTAGATGGTTGTCCATATCTTGTAGATATACAGGGTGATCGAAGAGGTTGCGGTGATATCGAGGCTATTGAACTAGGAGATCTTGAAGCATGTTCCACGGAAAATCGGGCATGATTGGATCCAAACGGTGTAGGCGAAGCATTACGTACTTGGGATGATTGCCGAGCATTTAGGTAATTTTGATTTTGATTAGGGTAACTTAAATTTGACTGTTCAAACTTGGACAATTTCTCATATGATAACGGCGATGGGTTAAAGTTGACCGGCGGCGCTCCTTGCGCAGAGGTCTGAGGTATTTTCTGGTAGCTAGCAGGAGTAGACAACTGTTGCTTTGGAGGTATGGTGCTAAAACCAGTAGCTATGGGCTTAGACACCGGAAAGCCCCAACTGGTTCCCATCGATGTTTCATTTAAACTATGATTTACTTTTGGCAGAGGCTGATGGGAATACTCGTGGGATGTGTTTATATTTGAAATATTATGACCCGGATATGCAGGCTGCTTATCTGTAAAGTTCTTCGGTGGTGGTGCATAGCTTGCTAGGGAGATTTCCTTAGGAACGTATAAGCCTGTGGAAAAATGAATTTCTAGTTAAATTTATACGAAATATATAAAATTTGAAAGGAAATAACTACTACTACTACATTCAATATACATTTTTAGGGAAAAAAATGCAAGCAAATTAAGACATTTCAGACAGACGAAATCAGTACACACGATAACAAAATAACACTTATCTGTTATATAAGGAAATAATGTAAATATTTGTGTTCTCTAGACTGGACTGAACGAATAACAATATGAAATACATAAAAAATTAAAAACATGGGATTTTCCGGGATCTAAAAGTCTTGCCTCCATTTTCATTGTCAGCATCGGTCGTTTCATTTGATAGATATGTAGAACCATTTTGACTTCTGGGCTTTACAGATACTTTGTATTCACCTAAGGACTGCTGTTCGAACGAGTATATAAGATCTCGCACATTTAAGTTTTCGTTTATTTCATCATCATCGGTACTGGGACCTGCTTGTACTACATCTTCATTATTCAGGCTTACGCCATTGGGACTCTCATGCTTGAGCTGTTCCCGATTTAATTTGGTTAAACGGAATAAACGAGAGTCGTCGCTTCGCTTCAATATTTCTATTTCAAGCCGTTGCTGTTCCAAAAAATATTTTTGAAATTTTTCGAGTTGATGCAATCGGGCTTGCACATCAACAGCGAAATCAATGGGCGGCCTTTGCCCATGGCACATTTGAACATTGTCCCTAAAAATGTCATGCTCTTGACTGACGTATTCGTATTCGTTTTTGTATTGATCATTGCCCTCCCAAGATGATAACGGTTCATTGAATTCAAAATACTCTGGAACAGTTTTTTCATAAGGTCAAAATTATCATCTTATCTTACCAAAGTAAAGTATTGAAATACCAGTAATTAATTAATTAATTAATCAATAGGGATTAACTTACCTCTTGGTAGTTCCACATTTCGGCCGCCCCAGCCCTGGGCAACACTTGGTTTATAAGCCAATTCTCTTTGTGGGTTCGTGGGCAAAATGGATGATTGCTGTTTCACATGTTGGTTAATGGACTGCTGGCGAAAAACTTTTTTACGTCCAATATTATTAAAATAGGTACTTCATCATTACCTTGTTATATGATTCCTGCTTATCTATCAATGGTATTTCATAAGATACTGGTTCAGCTGCATCTATAAAATCGCTTCCACCACTATGGAAATATGGTTTTGGTACGAACGAAGGCGTGAGACTTTTAGGTTTGGATTCCTCCAAAAAGGCAGAGCTCGCTGAACCTGTCTGTAATGCGGCCTCCCAAGGTGATTTAACAACCTGCAGTCCAGGCTTAGAATACTTTTCTATCAATTGATCTTGGTGAATATTTAATTGAACGCGATGTTTTCCCGCATCAGAATACGCCGGCAAAATGTTTGGCGAGGTTGCCGGCTTGGACTGATACTGCTGATAATCTGGAATACCAGATGGATGATTTTGAGTTCCTGCATTTGTTTCATCGACTACCCAATTATCAGCCTTTCGACGACGTTTTGCAAACAGTTCAGCACCTACATATGTATATATGTATGTATGTATGTTGGATGGTTGAGCAGATTGTAGAGCAGGCGGCGGCGGAGACGGCGGTGGCGGTAGCGAAGCAGGTTGTAAGCGATTGCAATCATGAAGTCCATGGGAGAAAAAATATTTTAGTTACTTATGTAACTTAAATTGGTTAAATGTGTATTGGTTCGATACATTATTTGGTTTTTTGTTCTTTTGAGTCCTTTACGAAAATTTAAATTATATCGTGTACAACAAAAATGTTAAATGTTCGATATACATACATATACATATATACATATGCAGGCTATAGCTAACTAAAAAAAGAAAAAAATCATGATGGGCCGTGATTTATCAAGAATTTACGTGTATAAACAATTTGGCGTTCAGACATGTTTATTTTTTAATGGAATCTCAAAGTTTAATTTCTTGCCCATACATAATGTACACATAATCAAGTATACATATGTACATACCTTACATGGTATATCGAACAATTAATCAAAAATAGTTGTATGTGTCAGCCCGTAAATATTAAGATTTCCTCATAAATATAACTGCTAAATAATGATTCCAATACACTTTATATTATACTAAGGAATTGTTATTTTACCTCGTCCCTGATTAAGTTTTAGTGCGGTTATTAGTTCAGCGCAATTGTCAGGCGATAACAGTCCAGTTTCAACATTAATCGATTCTTTGAGTGAGTTATAATCGCGAACTTGTCCTCTTGGATTCATTATGAGCTTTAGAGGAATTTTTTCCAGCTTTGTTAGTTCCAGCCAGGAATTTGCATCTGTATTTTCTTTGTATAACGTCTTAGCTTCACCTGTGCAATCATCCTCTGTTTGTACAAATGATTATACTTTAGCATGTTTTCAAATTCATATGTATGTAGCTAGTCTATATGAGTTTGTACATATGTACTTATGCCTGTTCTTTAATATGTACATACATATGTATGTATGTATGTCCCTCAATATCGAATCTTCTTATCAGCTTATTTGCATATACTATGTATAGTCTGCAGTACGATATTTCAGTTAAAGTTGCTTAAAGCTTGAACCACTAGATAACAATGATAAAAATTTTAAAGTTCACAATATAATTGCCAGTTCACTAAAATATAATTTTAGTCAATCTGTACATTCCTGAATGGCTGAATTTCTACCGATTCAGTAATAAATATATTAAGAAATTCGCTTGGCCGGCGTCTTAATTTTTCCTGTAGATTCGTTGGTAAACTTTCAAGGAATTTGAAAATATTCTTAGAATGTATACGGAAAACTGATACAAATTTCTATTAATCTTAGATTATTTAGCGCAGTTGGTCCCTCTTTTAACTAGTTATTTAAGTAGATCTGGTGTAAGTCTTTATTTGATTCCATCCCAGGGTAGTAAAATACGCATATCGGTTAAGTATGGTGACTTATGCATGCATCGAAGTGACTATTACCTTTATCACTACCTTCATGAACCCATTTTACAGAGCGTTTCTTGCGATTGACATACATTGTTTGACCCTTAGACGTTTGGTTACTGATATCACTCAACGAATGGGATATTCTTCGTGCTAGCTCAACCTGGTCTTCCACAGTAGGATGTAGGTTTGGAGAATAAAATGCGGATGATGCATATAGCTTTCCTATTTTAAACAAATTAAAAATCAGTTTAGGTAGCACAGAATTGAAAATTAGACGGTATACATTTGAAAAAGTTACTTTTAAAAGGCGATACGTAATTAGTGATATGATTTTAGTTTAGAAATTGCGTAAGCGAACAATGTAAGACGTGAGTGAAAGCTGGTAATTTCAGCTGAGATTAGTCCACTGGCAATTGACCAAAGCGAAAATATTTCATGTACTGATAACGGGTAGCCCCACGTAGGTATGGTAGTAGATATGTGTTACATATATTGCTTTTAAGTTGTACGAGGCTTACGTATCACCTTTTCTGTTTGTTTTTTTTTTTTTACTTACGATTTTTTGGCAATATCTCAATAGCATCGGTCGCAGGTGTGAATATTTTTCGCAAATCAACTGACTTCGATAAATTCGTTGTTTCCTATTTTAATTACAACACATAGGAGAAATTGTTCTAACTAAGCTTGATATGATTGATGATTGTTTTATGCAAGCCAGTTGTGTGTACTGAATATATAAATAAAATGCTTGAGCACCGAAAAATAATTACAAAGTTAATCATTGCTGTCTGCTTTTTAGCTATTCGACCCGGATGATACATACATTTTTTCTTTGCCACAGCTTCGTGCTTAGCTCTAATAAAACTTTTCTTTTACTTTGATCGTATAGATCACTGGGCCGAAACCCGCGTTTTCTCTCTACTATGCAATTCATTTTAAACAAATTAAGTGGTGGCTTTTGCGCATTAATAAATACTTCGAACGTTAACCTATTTCATTATGACCATTTTTATTCGATACTAGCGGGCGGCACAAATAAAATTCTAAAAAAGACACTTGTCGTTGAAGATACATGCATACATATGAACATATATGTATATGTACGTATGTAAAAATGTGTGTATACACATGGACGCATACAAAGCTCTCTTGAAGGCTAATTATAGATGACTTTTTAAATGTTGGAACGAAACGTACATTAATTTAAATTCTATATAATTTCAGGCAAACACATGCACAGACGTATACATAAGGTAAATTCTCTCATTTTGAGAGCTCGGCATATACAGTAGTGGAAATCAATGTTATTTGCCATTCACGTGTTCGGATATTTAATTGCGGTTGCAATTCGCTTTTCATCATTTTTGCGGAACACAATCAGTAACAGAATTGTAGCTTGTCTTTATATGCGTATTAATTTGAATTATGTTCCATTGTACATGTACATATTAAACAATAGATGTAACAGATCCCGAATAGTAAACTACGAATCCTTAGCCTATTCTCATACAAATAATTAAACTTGTTAGTTACATAGGAAAATTGGAGGTAAACTTTGAGAATTTTGTAACTTTCCAACTCTACAGGCAATAGCTTCCTGTTTTACTTTATTCAACTCGGATTGCTTTATCCTGCAGCTTCGATTACGAATAATCGATCTAAAAGGGTACCAAAATATTTAGACACTATCTACTAATATGGAATATGTCCCATAGCTTCGATTGGACTTACTATATTATTCGTGTTCGGAAAAAGTTTCTAACATGAGCTACCGGAATTTCTTTTTGTACTTACTTTTGTATTATGTAAATCATCACCTTGAGATTGCGTTGAGGAAAGTCCATCTCGCTGGTTTCTTTGTGAACTCAAGAACTCTTGTTTCTCAACTTGCTGTTGTTCCCACTGTTTTTGCTTAAGTTGATTTTGGGCAGTCAGCTGTTGAGCCAAAATTTGCTGCTGCTGAATTTGGTTAGTCAATTCGTTCTGTTTCTGAATTAGCTTCAGCTCTTGCTCCTTAAGCTGGGTAATTTTCTCTTGAGTTTTTATATTGATATCTATATCAGATATAATGTCCTGAATTTGATTGTTAAAGTTTTTCTGCAGAGATAAAAAAATAAATTGGTTTATAAAAAGTGTAATGGCTTAAACGTCGCACAATCGCACATTCCAACACTCTGAAACCATTTTTAAGCAGTATTATGCTACTGCTACTTTACTTGCTTTCTAATTTTTGTATATAAATTTAGTATCAATTTTGAATTAGTCTTAAGACTGCTTGTATTTAGTACACAAAATTACCTTATTGAATAGTTTTCCTATTGCAAACCAGTTCATGCGAACAAATACATACATATGCAAAAAGGGGTTTGTTGTTGGTATATAACTACGAACCAAAATTAACCAAAAGCTTACTTGATCTTTTAATAATCTCACATCTGCAACTTCGTTAGCTGTCTGAGGCGATGGATCAGACGATTCATTCAATTTTTCCTTTGAATCAGTGCCCTAATGTAAAAATAAAAAAGTACATAAATGAACACATACATTTTCATATGTATTTATGTATATGTATGTATATATTTACATTAATTTATATGTATTCACATTTAATCAAACTTAAACCTAGACTACTCAGTTACCTTTTTAGTTTGGCTTTCAATTACTTCAGACGGTACTTCAGATTTCTCCGGAAAATCGATAGCAGTTTCGACGATATCCTGTTAGAAACGTGTTTGAACAGTGTTTTAGCAATCGAATCAAACGGGATTGTTAGTCACTGTCATATTACTATTATGGAAGTTGCTTTTAATATTTTATTTTATTAGTTTTCGCAGATATTTAATTATATACAGAATACGTATTATACATTAGTATTAACAATCTACTTCAGTTTCATTAGTTTTCATTTCACTTTAGTTTTATTAAATATTCTTTTTTTTTGTTATGCGGTGAGCTCATATGTATGTATTTATGTATGTAAGTAATGTATTCAGACTTAATGATATCGGCTGAAAAATTTTAAAAATCAAGGCCTAGTTTTCTTTGCTGTTTTCAGCATTAAATAGCTGCAGATAGAAAAAAGTTCACTGCTATGCACGTATTTCCATCAACTTATAGTTTGCATGTTTAGTTTTAAGATCTATCAAATAGATCAGATAGCTTTACTGCATTCGAAAAGCTTGGAAGCGCTTAATCAGATAATTTGAATATAAAGCGTAACAAAATACTTCTTCTGTCACAGATTCTGTCCCATCTTCTGACTCCGTTTCTTCCTCATATTTAGCTTCTTCTACTTCGTTTACTTGCGATTTGGCAGAAACTTGAGGTTCTGCTTCCATTTTCGATTTCCCGGCATTATTGGATGTTTTGTCTATAGGAACATCTTGAGGATTTGCCACACTGCTTGCATCTATTTCAGCAGTAGTTAAATTTTCAACCTCTGTTTCCACCACCTCTATAGTTGGCTTTACCGTTGCCGGTTTTTCCGCTGCCAGTTTTCCCGTTACCGGGTTTTCCGTAACCGCTGTTTCCGAAACAGGAGTTTCCGTATCCGTTACCACAATCGAATCTACTATAGCTATAGTAGTCGTGGGTGTTTCGTCCGATAGCATAACGTCTTGATCCGATTCTTTCGCAATAACGAGAACACTTTCATCAATTGAATTATTAACACTTTGGCTAGGTTCTACAGATGTTTCGAGTAGTTCGTCGTACTCTTCGGCAGCCAAATCCGTCACTACAACTTCAGTCTGCGGCTGTTGTGGTACAAAAAATTAAAATAATAAAATGTTTCCGCAAATTTGTAGAAGAGAGGCAAGAGATCTGAAGGCTCTGTTGATATAAGTGACAGTAGTAGATCTAAGAATACATATGTATGCATGAACATATCACAAGTATGGTTATGGCTTTTCGCTTGTTTTCTATAACTGATTTTTCTACAGGGCTTTAAAACTTCATTTTATGTACAGAAATATAAAAAATGACACAAAAATTACGTACCACAACTTCAGAATTTGAATCCATTTCTTGTTTTTAATTCTGTAAATTCCGTGCTCAATGAGATATCTGAAAGTATTAAACTATAATTAGAAGAAAGGGGAATCGTACACAACCTTTTTCTGAATGGCGATTTTAATAATAAAAAACGCCGATCCGATCCACATGCAACAGGTGCTAAAATGTATTTCTACTTTTATCTCGAGCTCATAACATGTAAACACATTGCCATACATATTTTCATATGAATGTAAATGCATCTGTATCACAAGTGAGTTGTGAGTTGAATCAGAATAAAACTCATTTGATGTTCACTTTAACTTGCCCGTTACACAATTAACAATTATTCACTTCCTATAAGCACATATGTACATATGTTCACACATTCATATGTATTCTTGCATGTAAATTTATTAATACAAATGTTTATATAAATTCTTTTGTGCTCCAAAATAATTGAGTTGATATTTCATTGTATACTTATTAAATACCAGATATTGCTGCGGAGCAAATAATTTAAATTTTGTACAAGGCAGTACAATCGAACTATTGTAAGATGATAATAAAATAAATGCCGTCCTGACTAAAATAATGACCTCGAATGAGCGAGAATATACATACGCCGTTCGATTTCAAGAATATGAGTGCACATCAAAGATAGCTTCCACACTGTCCACATTTTGTCTATTTAGTATATAATCACCGTTCTCACGAAGAACTTTTCACAAAATTTAAATTTAAAACTCACTTATACATACATACATAAAAATACATACATTCTCGTAGTTCATCTAGAAAATTTCTTGCTGCAAAGCGAGCACAATCGGTGCACAGTGGGTCCGATACATAAAAAAGTTGCAATATACTCGCACCAGAGCAGAAGCGATCTAGTAACCAACAATTCAGAAGCGTCGGAAAAATGAATAGCTATCAAGTCTTTGAACATACTATTGCGATTATCTTAACATCAAAAGAATGGCCCATTAAAATGTGGTTTATATGTGATAATAATCTGTTTCGGTGTTTCTTACATATTTGATAACCGTAAAATATAATTACTATTTTTTATTGTGCATTTTCATTTATTTAATTGTGCTAAATAGAGTTTACGTTCTAATCACTTTCCCAGAGGTACGACCCGCTGTTTATACTACCGTCTCTTTTTATGGGACTTATTTATTTTTCGACGTTTCAAAATCATTTCATATAATGCATCCAAACCTTCCTGAAGACCTTCGCCAGTTATAGCACACGTGGGTTGTATATACCAGCCTTTCATGTGTAAAGCATTTGAAGCTTCAGCATTGCTATGCTTTACTGTAGTATGCCAGTTTTGCTTTGTTTCTTGCTGAATTTTCTTGTCTTTTTCAGCCGAATCAGAAGGCATATATGAAAATGAGGCCAATGCGCCACTACTCATTGACGAATTGCTTTCATAAGTTTGATCGAGAATAGGCGTTATGGGAGCTATTGGAGAGTATGGTTGGCTTGGTAGATGCGGATCCAACGCTTTCTCAGTATATCTTTGGTTTGAAACGCTATAACCAATTAGGTTGCCAGTTGAAGATGAGCTTGAACTTATCATTGGTATGTTCGGCACTGGATTTTGAAGTTCGTTAAGCCCCAAAAGCTTTTCCAGTTCTTTAGCACCGCATGCGCTGGGAAGATCTTGTTTATTTGCTAGTATCAGTACAGGAACGCCCTGTTTAATACAAGAAAAGATCATAATTTAGTACCATTGGTATGCAATAAATAATTTTAATGCTGTGGAAAAATGTATTTTTCACCTGATTGTCTGGACATTTGGCCGTACGCATTAATTCCATTTTTGCCTCTTCCATGCGTTCTGTGTCGACGGAATCAATAACAAACAAAATGCCATCCGTGCATCTGAAAGCAATCAAAATCTAAATAAAACCGCCGCTTCATTTACATATATATGTACGTATGGATTAATCAATCATACCGTGTGTAACTTCGCCACAATGGCCTCAGCTTTTCCTGTCCTCCAACATCCCAAATTAGAAAGTGAATTCCCTTTGCTCGTCCAATCGTACCTTGCACCTTTAAAATTAACAAGGCCTTAGTTAAAAGACATTATCTACTATTATGAATCTATAATAACCTTTTCACAATTAAATCCAATAGTGGGCACTGTATTTAAATACTGGTCAAATTTGAGTCTGTATAGTGCCGTTGTTTTTCCAGCAGAGTCTAAGCCTAACATGACAACATGCAACGTTCCCTGAAATTTAATGAAATGTAGTCGTTTGAAATGATAACATTATTATTTTCTGAAACTACCTGTGACGGCAATGCATCCAACAAATTTCCATTCTTTACCAAAGGCTTTACCATTGTAGCGCCCATCTTATAAGAAAGTACCTTTCTTTACATTACGCGGGATCGTTCTGATTGCAATTAATACAGGGCAGGGCAAACGTTATTGGATGTTTCCCAATCGAGTTTTGTATTTTTGCCAATTGAAACAACGGTTTGGGATTTTTCCCAATTGGTATGATTTTATTCTGATTTATTCGATAGCATAAGAGTCTTAAATCGATACATGATATATTTTATTGATTTATAAAACATTAGAGGTATTCCTACAACTGATTTTGGCCATTTCTACCTGTATGAATCTACTCGTGTATGAATTCGTCCCGAGCGATCTTAGTAGGGGTACTCATGAAAGTGATTAAAATGTGGCTCAGATTCATCAAAAGCATTTATCTGGGGCTGCCGGCAGCCTGGCAGCCGGATTTTTTCTTCTTCTTGCATTTTTATATGTTGGTGTTTCTGCCAGCGAACTGAAGAACTCATTTCTGTACCAGCTATCCTATCTCACGCAATGCTCGATATGATATTGCATCTCTTATTGCTCTCTCTCAGCAATTCCTTTTTGATATTCCTTATATTAACCATATTGGTACATATGTATAAAAGATATGGTATGCTACTCACCTAGTAGTATTCGATTTTTTTCACAGCCTTCTGTCCCACTCTCTTGATTTATGTTCAGAATTGAACATGACCCTACCCCCAACGTGTGGAGACCTATTTAGGAAGCCCTATTTAGATAGGATAATCTACTATTATCAGTCAGAAATAAAATGTCATCATTTTGACCCTTTTATTATTATATCATTTATTTGTTAATTATTTATTTACTTATATAGAGAATTTTGACGAAAATGTAGGTCCCGTTAAGATAAGTTAGAAATAATGGATTCCAAGCAGCAGATCAGTAGTAAACGAACAGTCTAAAGTGAACATATTGGAATTTTCCAACTAGAGTGAACTCGAAACTCGTCAGTACCCTGGTACCATTTAATGGTGAGGATTTAAATATTTTTTTTAATAAGATAAAATCTCTGTGCCGGTTGCTTAGCTTTATACAGTTTCACATAACTGCGGCTCAGAATCAGAGGTAAAGCCGTCTCTCGCCTTGGGCACCAAGATTGATATAATATCAATCGATGACATGCCGAAAACAATGTCCACAATAAGCAAATAAAAACTAGCAGAAGCAAAAAAATCTAATGATAGATGACGGTCGGCTCCTCCAAAGCATAAGAATGCAAGCGCACAAAAACATGATAAATTCTGGCCTACAGGTAGTTTTCATCAACCGAAGAGACATCGAAGGGAAGATCTCGGATATAAACTGGCTAACTGCAATAGGTAAAATCCTAGATGCCATGGCAAAAACTGTAGAGCGGACAGAGAACCCGGCTCTCTGTGTTCCATTGGAAGCAAGTGGTATAAGGGAGCAAAGGCAGTGGCCTGTGGAAACAGAGAAACTCTCAAGTTTCTTAAAGCTTAAAGCTAAATTGGGCTACACAATAAAATCAGTGTCGTGCCCTCATTCCAAAAAGAATGATCATGAAGTTATGGATTCCCCCGATGATCAGAGAGGACAAAACTATACTAATATTGTTCAAGCTCACATCTTAGGCTACGAGGAGGCATACTGGACTATCAGAAGAGTTATACGGCGCGACCAAGGAAAAAAGGAACTCCAGATCATTGATATGGGAACTGTGGCGGCAGTACCGCAATTCCTCGGACTTGCCGAGCACCATAAAGGTCTGAATCACTTGCATCCTCCCGAGGCCCAGACGAAGCTCTAAACCTCTCCCCTGACGTCTGGAAGCTAGAATCCAGGGTCTGAAGGGGAATGCACTTCGATCATCTCAACTTCAGGCATTCTTTCATGCTTCCAGATCGCTGTAGCGTCGTAAGTGGAAATTATAAGAAATCAAAGAATCCCTGTGAAATATATATAGCGATAGCCAAGCTTCGATCAAATCACAGTGTAGAGCTGTCCATCTAGCGGTGGGTGCGTCCTGGGTGCAACCTACTCCCATTACTCCTACATGACGCAGCACTTTTTCAAAGATAATTCCCGAAAAAACAAATTGCATGTCTCGTGCATAACAAATCACAGTCCTTGGGGAAGAACGTATTGACTGACAGCAAGTTCAGCTGCCGGCCCCTGACTTTTTCTGTTAAAAAAAAAGTTTTCTAATTTTTGTATGTGTAATAAAATAGCAAAATATAAGAGAATTTAATACGTCTAACTATTTAGGTCTGTATATAAAATTCATAGTCAAGTTTTTCGACTCAATAATAACAAATCCGACATATAAAAAGCAGACATTTTTCCTTAGAGAACAACTTAGTCAAATATTTATATGTAACTATACATTTAAAATACTTAAAACGGCAGTTAATGCAGGAACTGTTCTTTCTGCTGCTCATTTGAATCCATTTTTCTAAAACGCCAGCTTCCCAGACCGTCAAACTCCAAAATGTGTGTGTGATATTTCCTAATTTGTAGAAATAAATTAATTAAAGTCTAGATAAAAAATATACACATTCAGATCTAACCATAGAGTCGGTCTGTGTGTTATTGTCAGAAGCGTTATGCCCATGCTTTTCGCAATTTCATATATCGAACTCTCAACATCTATGGAAACTGCGCTGGTACATTCATCAAGTAAAGCATAACGTGGCCTAAGAAAGCAAAGTATTATATATCAGACTTTTCACATGTAAATTATTCGTACTTATGATAAAATAGTCGAGCTATCGCCATACGTTGTTTTTCTCCTCCAGATAGAATGTCCTTCCAATCGCGAACCACATCAAAACTATCACTAAAAGTGGAATACAAAAATATTAATTAAAGTCGTAAAACTTTCATGAATTAAATAAAGAGTATTTACCGTTGCGCAATGTGCTCTAGGCTGACCATTTTTAAAATGTCTTTTAGCTCATTTTCGGTTATGTTCTTGCGTTTCATATCCTCTCGGGTATCGGGATAAATTATTTGGTCACATAAGCTGCCAATAGACATATACGGTCGCTGCGGAATATAGAACATGCAGGGTTTATCTTCCACGGGCCGTGGAATATGCAATTCCCCAGCATATATGGGCCAAAGTCCACTTAATATACGGAATAAGCTAGACTTTCCACATCCATTTGGACCAGTGATTAACAAATGCACACCGGGCTCGATGCAAAGCGTTAGGCTTGGTACAACTATATCACAGTTGGGTGTCACTACTGGAACTGCTCGTAGAGTGATTGACATATTTCCGGGATCATCCGTATAAATAATGCGACCTTTAGCTACAGGTTTGCCATCACGGAATTCAATAATACCATTCATCTCGTCGTTTTCTACTACTGTTGCCTTACAATAGATTCCCTGAGCGGTTTCCTCAAACACATCCATCATGCCAGCTACACGGTAAGTGTAACCAGCAAGAGCAACAATCTCCTTGTAGGAAGACATCAATCGTTCAATGGCGTCCGCTGCAGAAATTAGTAAATTTCTGGCTGTTGTCAAATACTGAGTGCGCTCGCTAACATTGGACTCAGTGGAAGAAGAATCAACAAGGGATGAAGAATCGCCGGCACTTCCTGTCAGAATAGGTAACGATACCATAATCATTCCAGTACCAGACCAAACGTATTTCATAAAAAATTGTTCAAGCATTATAAACCACAGCTTTTGGCTAAAAATGTTATTCATTTGATTAACAAGGCGATTGTATGCCTGCCTTAACTGTTGCATCTCCACCTAAAAATTCAAATAAACGTTAAGTTACTACATTCATTATTTTGTTCAATAATTCTGGAAAATATGACTTGCCTTATGCCCTCCGTAAAAAGCTATTTCTTCGGCATTTGTTATGATGCGTGAGTGAATATGCCTAAGGTAACCATAACGGTTTGCCTCCTCCGATACCAGCTGTCCAAACTTTGGTGAGACAATCCGTAAGATGTGCGCGGTTAGGGCTATGACACTTACAGACAAAGCCGGTCCTGAATAGTGGGGTATAATACATTATAACGGCATTAACACAAAAATAATCTATTAACCTGTTAGGATATTCGCTTTCATTTTTCGGGACGATCTCATCAATGCTAAGCCAATTAGCATCAAGTCGAAACAAGGCTTAGTCAGGCTACTATATAAATGAGCCACAGAACTGGCAAATACGGAAATATCTTCAGTGAGCCTATAGAGGAAATTATTTATGTTGCAAGTTTCAAGGGCTCTTATTACAAGTTTATTTTTCAGTAAATCAAAAACAAAGGTACTGGTGTTGTTCATAATTTTTGTTTTTTATGGTATTCTTTAAGTATTCTTTCTCAAATGGTGAGAGGTATCAAAACCAACTCAGAACTTTAGACACTATTACACTTGGATATATATATACACACTTGATCATAATAATAGGTACACCTTGAAGCTTTTCATTAATAATTAGTTTTATCGTACTTTAAAGTGTTGAAAACAAAATTTTGTTTGGTATGTATGCGTCAAAAAAATCTAGCCATGGGGCAAACTTTTGCTAAAGATCATAAAGACTGCGCAGGATGCGCCGGAGAGAAAAAGTGGAGAAGCCTTTTATGGAGCGACGAAACTAAAATAAATTTATTAGGGAATGAATGTGAAAGCAATGTAGGAAGCCCTAAACGAAAGAATTTTGATCCATGTTTCAAGCAAAAAATTTCTCAAACATGGAGGTGCCAGCTAAAGACATGGGGCTGCTCATCTTGGTACGGCGTAGGTCCATTTTTCCTGACAACGAACAGAATGGACGCTGAGCAATACAAATCCAGATTGCAGACAGTTATGCTACCTTATGCTGAAGAAAACATGAGTTTCCATTGGGTATTTAAGTAATATAACGACCCAAGGCACACATCTAAGCTTTTGACCAACTTTTTTGAGGACCAAACAATAGACGTTTTAAAGTGGCTTCCTAAATTTTCCGACTTAAATCCAATCGAAAACTTGTGGGGAGATTTACGAAACAAAATTAGCTAAGTTTTCATTTTCAAATAATCAAAAATTATGCGAGGGCGTCCAAAAATTGAGGTATGAGACACCTGCCAGACGCTTATTACAAGTACGCCAAAAATAATTATAAAGGTGACAAAAAATCAAGGTGGATACATCGGATATTGACTATAAACCCCACTTAGGCAACAAAAAAATAATAATAATCAGTTAACAAAATTTTTTTTATAACAAAACTTAAAGTGTACCTATTATTTTGAGCAGCCTGACATTGACTCTGAAGTACAAATTGCTCTCTTTTCTTTTATAACATTATCCTATAATATAATAAAGTTTTTTTTATTGAAAACAAATACTGTTGGTATAATTGAGAACTAATTTTAAGTTTCAAATATTGAATACAACTGCTTTTTGTTATGTTAAAGTTTACGTAGATGTGTGTACCTATTATTATGATCAAGTGTGTATATATATATAATAATTATATATATAATATATAATTATCAAAAGAAACACAGCAAGTACCTTGGTTTTAAATAAGATAATAAAGTCTATAAATGAAAATAGACTTAACGACTCACCGATGATCCGCATTTTCGATACGTCCGTCCAAATTTGATACTCTATAGTAATTTTGATTCTTGAAATATAATCGGTATGAATGACGTACCAAACGCGTTCTAAAATAAAAAGTTAAGTGGAGTTAGAGTCTACTTATACTCTGCATACATCATTTTATTATTTACCTGAAGGCGAGTGCCAATTTACTTTCCAGAAAACGTATCATTGAATTCACAAATGTAGCGGGGATAGCAATACCAAACCATTTAAGCAGAACAAAGGAAAACTGCTTAACGTCCTTACGCACTATAAATTTAACAAGTGCACCCTCTAATGCGGCCACATAAATACTGAGGAAGGTTCGGGAAATGAGGCAAAACGTGTGTATGCTGAGCAAGCCTGTCTCGTAGCACAGAGTATTAGGTATCATAATCTTAACTAGCATTCCCAGTTGCTTCAAAAATTCTTTGTTTAAACCAGGCTCGATCATCTGCTTGTTGGTTTTGTTTTTTAATTTCTGTGCCACCAATAATTTTTCTGCTTCAGCGAGCTTTAAATCTTCATCAGAGCCATCTGTTCCTGATGGTGTTAATGCCCCTGTATTGATTTTTGTTTTCCCAGTTAAAATCTTTCTTGGGGATTGTGATTGCGTATTTCTTACATACGGAGTAGTAATCTTAATGGTAAGAGCTACTATCGCACTGGTCACGAGCACGCAGCTAAAAGCGTGCTTTGTAATTCCATTTTGTTCACATTTTTCCGCTATACGGTCTACGTATTTGGATAGAACGGTCATATTTACACAATATATATATATAAGCCTGGTGCGTCTGTTAAAAATTTATTGAAATAAATGTAAGAAAAAAATATTTTTAAACCGAGATAAAAATGAAATGACGCTTCGGAGTCCGAAGCCTTTTAATAACATTGCACACCGATCTTCATACGCAAGGCGTAGTAATACAAATTTTATTATCTTCAGAAAGAACAAGCTTTTGCCATCTAGACTTGTCTTCCAACCGATCGTTACTGTGGAAAATAATTTCAGTGTTTAGGTATTAAACTTCAATTTTGAAACAATTTTGTCGATTGTTCCTATGGCATATATGTATGTATGTATGTGTATATCGACTTATCTTATATATATATGTACATATGTATATATATATACTACCTGGATCTGCCTGATCTAAAATAAGTACATAGTTTCAAAATAGTATCTTAATTTAAAAAATGGGTTTAAAACAAGTATAAACCATTTATTAACAAAACATCATGTAAAATGTATTTTAAAGATCCGGTCGACTATGCAAAATCAAATTCAGGACTAAGAGTAAAAACGTTGCCAACAAAAATATCTACATACATATATCCATTTGTGGGAATTTAATAGTGTTTTGGCAAGTTTAAAACGAACAAACTGAGTTTTTGCTGACCTATCTACAGAAAAGTAGTCTGCATGTCTGAGTAGGGCTCATTATACATATGTTAGAATATTGACTATTGCGTACCAATCGTTCCACTTTTTCTGATCAGTAATATTGGTGGGATTTGATAGAGGAACACGTCAGAATCGATCAACTCGGTAGAGTTCTATGAACATATAAGAAAAAACAGATTTTTAAAGCAAAATTTAATAGTACAAAACAAAGACCGTCGCCGTCATTCGTATCCGTCGCGGTTTGAAGCAAAACTAATCAATGGCAATTCGAATTTCTTGCTTAAGGCAACGTTATAAATTTTGCTACGCTTCCAAATTTGATAACAACTACTATAAATTAACAGCGGATATGTTAAAAATGTACTTATAAGTCGACCAGCGGAAGATTTGCTTAAAATTAATCTGCTGAGCGAATTTAATTTGTTCATAAAGAAGAAGTCGCATCTGAAATACATACATACAATATGTACGAATATTAAGCAGGCTATTTAAATTTATTTATTTAATGTATAGGTAATGGTAGTAAAAACGTATTTCATAGTCATAATATGTGTATGTGACTCCATAAGCTTGTGAATGTTTCAATAAAATGCCTATTCGATAACGTATCTAACACAACGCGGCACACCACACAATAATGGATGGATGGTGGTAGCAATCGTAAATCCAGATTAGCTGACGGAAGTTTATAGATTATATTATCAATTCCAAGAGGACTTTGAATCTTGTGTAATCTGTTTAAACTCTTTCCATAATTAAATACCGATATGAACTTTGGAATAACAGGCATGAGACAGAAATGCCGACATGTACATATGCGTGTACCATGAACTTTTATGCGTTTCCAGCGACTAATTTGTATAAAACTATACATATTACATAGCTCTATACGGTTGATTGTCAAATTACAAAATCCATACAAAGTCAGTACAGCGCGGTTCACATAATACAGCTGCAGTTTTCTGGCTTCCCGATCAGCTGTCTTTGTTCATCATAAGTATATGTAGGTGCATCGCACGTTGTGACATTAACTTTTTGTAAAAGCTTAAAAAGTTCATCCATACGTACTTACATTCACACATTTGTAACTAAACAAAACAAGGTACATTATTACGGGAAATAAAACCAAATCACACAACAGCTATGCTAAGGAGACAATTTAAATTTGTATGTATGTGTGTAAGTATGCACAATAAATCGCAAGTTTAAGAAAAGGTTCAGCTAATTTAGGTGATTATATTATGTACATATGTATGTATGTATGTGTATTATAATTATAAGGTCCCAGCTGTTATTTGATGTGCATATATAGATTTTTTTACACAGGTATGTATATATGTATGCATGTAAGAAGAATACTATTTATGCAGAACCCAAAAAACACTCTGGAACAACAACACACAAGCTTAAAGCGTAATCGTATATTATCTTTTCCCTCACAAATGATTCACACAATTACCAACTGCAGCAAGGGGTACGGAAAAAAGTACCAGTTTAAAGAACTTTTGTATTTATAATATTGTAAATATACAAGAAAATATAAGCAATAGTATAAAGAAGAACAGATCCCTTCTGTTATTACAATGTGATAGGAATGGCATGCATGCGGAACACAATAAAAACACAACCGAACAACACAAAAGCTTAAAGCTTAATGTACATATGTATGTACATTTGCTCATATTTTTGTATATTTACGTACATACATCAATAAAAACGTATACATATGTACTTATATATGTATGTAGATACGAATGCTCCCTTGCTGGGTATTATGGTTTTAAGCAAATGGTTGCCACTCAACTGTATTATGTATGTACTACGCACTTTCATATGTATTTAATCAATCAATTCTCTTAGGCGACTTTGAAAATTTAACACCCAAAAGGGTGTTAAGTATTTTTGTGACTTAATATCTTCTATGACAAAGAAATAATCTAAAGCGGAAAAAAAAATTCTGAATATACGTACATATGTATGTACATACATATGTATGTATGTACATATGTGGGGCTTTTCAAAGCCCAAAATACTATAGACTGCACTCATTACACTTTTATGAAAAAACAAATGATCCGAAACTATTCGGGCATAATAATTGTATTGTAGTAGGGGTTATAGTCGAAAGTTACTATAGACAGTACGTAGCTTTATAACTTTAAATATACATATGTACATATATAAATGTGGATAAATAGTTACCTACATATGTACATACATACATACTCGTATACGTGCATATGCATGTCATTTGTTATAATTGTATCACCAATGAAACGTAGATTTTTCGCTTTGTTACCGATTCTGAAATAAGCCTATCCGCTCAGTTTGGACACATTCAGTGTATGTAACTGTATTTTTAAGTTTCCTTTCGATACTATTTTAAATATACTTATTACCTAAGCACAGTCACAACTATAGAATAAATAAATCTACCAGTTTAGAAATTCCCGAGATGTCGGTCACCCAAGCAGCGTTCAAAGATGGTCAAAAATGGGATTTAAATGAAGAAGAGTCAGATTTCGAGGTATGGTCCATGCCATTGTATTGTATTGAAAATTGTTTCTATACCTAGTACTCGAAGAGTATAGACGTATATTCGCTTTTTGGTGGATGTGTGTAACACCCAGAAGAAAGCGTTACCCCAAAAAGTACATATATTCTTGGTCAGCATCAATAGCCGAATCCATATAGGTATGTATGTCTGCCTTCCTGTCTGTCCGTCCGTCCCACTCTCCGTCTTGTTTGCCGCCTAGTTCTCAGACTATAACATTACTATAGCTGTTATAGCAACCAAATTTCGTGTGATAACACACGGAATCAAGTTAGCCACTGACGAAAATCTGTGGCATCCACAATTTCGATACGAGAACACAAAAAACGCAGAATCATGGAAAAATGGAAATTGCAGTGGTTACGCAACGCCTTCCATGCGCTTACTCATTATCTGTCTCACATATTTTTCGTCAGACTTCGTTCGCCCTCTGGCGATCGTTCGACCGATTTTTATGAAATTTGTTGTATCCAAAATATCAATTGGTTCCTGCTAACAGCGATATCAAACGATATATAAATTATATTGTATAAATTACATAAATCACAGGATCCGATATGTATATACTGACTGAGTACCGGGTATAAAAGTAAAGCAATGTTGCCGCTCGTTATTGGAGGTTGTAAGCTGAATTGATGAACATTAAATTTTTCTAGGAATATTATGATGCGTGCTCGGATCATTACGGCTTTGATAGCTATAAAACTGATTTTAAAACATCTATAGAGCACGCCGAACTGGCGTTGCAGTATTTTTTTAATAACCAATTCGATGAAGCAAGAAATATTTTGCAACCATTCGCCGAAACAAGCTTTTATCACTCATTGGGATATGCAGTATTTTCTTTTCTTGAGGCTATGCTTACTTTCGAAAATATCGAGGGTGCGTCGGCGAAAATAAAAAAGTGTATAGAGCTTTGCCAATTATTCAGGAAAAAGAATACTCTAACGGAATCCATCACTAGTACATTCAAGAAGGTAACTATCCAGTGCAGAACCCAATATTTCATTACCTAAGTCTTTTCAGAAAAACTATTCCCAGCTAACAGATCAGGAATGCCATGCTGAGCTGTGTTTGGCAGAGGCTTTATTAATGAACGCCCTCTTAACATTCATTGAGAATGATAATCTGAGTGGACTGATTCGTGGTAGCCTCAAAGTACGGCAATGTTATAGTGGTTTCAGGTGAGAAGGACTTTTATTGTGATAGTAATTTTGATTAGTTGTTTCTATGCGCAACAGAGCATGTGAGCAAATAATGAAGTCTCGTGAATGGATCTTCGACGTGGTCAAGGACTCAGCATCGGCTAGCACCCATTTCGCCAGTGGAGTGTATATGGGGATTGGAACGTTCAACCTTATGATATCAATATTACCTGGACGTATACTAAACATTCTTAAATTTATTGGATTTACGGGCAGCAAGGTACGTTTTTTAGTCAACCTCCCAGATAAAAGCCTACTGTTTTTTTTTAGACTACTGGCCTAGATTATCTAAAGAAGGGAAACCGAGAAAAAGGGTTGCGCCAGATTCTTTGCGGATTGTCCTTGCTTGGGTATTATCTTGTGGTAATAGCTATGCTAAGCGATCGGCAGTCGGACTCCGATGTACAGTTTTGCGATGAAATTCTAACAGCTCAGCTTGCCAAATATCCAAAGGGAGGATGGATACTTTTTCTTAAGGGACGACTCGAGCTAATCAAAGGAAATTTGTTTGCAGCAGAGTTATGGTACTTAAAATCAGTGCATTCACAAATCACGTGGCCACAACTTCACCATTTAAGCTTTTGGGAGCTTTTTTGGTTGAATAGTCTAATGGGAAATTGGGCAGAGGCAGAACTATATGCAACATATTTGCTGCAAAATAGTAGTTGGTCACGAACCATTTATACATATAATTTAGCCGCGGTCAAATTGGCATGCATTCAACAGAGAAGGACCACTGCTTGTAACATTACCGATCCTGATATACAGGCTCTAATGCTTGAAGTCCCCGCATTTAGACAGAGGATTTCTGGGAAATCGCTACCAATGGAGAAGTTTATGATTAAGCGAGCAATTCGTTTTGGCGCTCAAAACAGTGATCTCGTTCTCCCGCTTATCGAGCAAATGTATCTGTGGAACATATTTAAATTGATTAAAGCAAACTCACTTATCGCCGACGATATTCTACAGACAATTAATAAAGAGTTAGTCCTGCTAAAGGACCCAAGTCAAACTTCACAATTATACTATGCAGACAATCGAGCCCTTTGTCTCTTGCTGCGTGGAGCTTTCTATAGGCAAATGGAGCAGCCGAATCTAGCTCTTCAGTAAGCGTATCTCGAGCAGAGAAAATTATCCAATTATAATTACCTATTTCGATTTCAGGGACTTGCACGATTGCTTAACACAAAGAGGAATTAAGGAGGACTTGTTTTTATTACCATATGCTTATGTTGAGTCCGCCCTTTGTTACGTACCTTTCAACAAAAATCAAGCCATATCCATGCTACAGGATACCAAGTATGCGTAACTTGATCAATCCCATAAACATACAATAGTACCTATAATCATTAACAGGAAAAAGTTTTCGCACTACGCGTTAGAGTCCCGGCTGCACCTCAGGATACACATGGCGCTAATGGATTTAAATGATAATACCGACGGGGAATTGTAAATTCAGGATTTTTTGGATTTGTTTAGTTGTTTCTAGGTATGCTTTCTGCAGAAATCTGTTCTGCATTGCGCAGAGCAAAGTAGGAATAAAAGCTTGGTTATATTGTTCAGTAATATTTTTGTCATTTTATTGTGGGAATTGAAAATTCCATATACTCGTACATGCGAAATTTGTTCATATACATGATTGAATTATAAGTATACATATTTAATTTGTATTATGATGGAAATTAATTAATGGTATTCTAACCATATAATTATTTTTGATGTGTTGGTGTAGTGCTTAGTGTGCATAGTCTGATTAATACTATAACCTTTTCCTTAAGTTCTCAAATTGATCGTACTTAATAGAGCAGTATAAGTTAGTTAAGAATACATTTATGTTTGATCAATTTAACATTAGAAAATGCAAAAGCCTTAACTAATCAGTACTATGTATATTAACGTGTCATTATAACAGGCTATTAATTACTTATTTTCGTAAAAGCATTAGTTTTGTGTATATTTCTTAGTTTAAATTTTAATCTTAATTTGAATGAAATCATTTTCTACAACATAGTCAAAATTCAATTTGCTGAGCACTTAGCAAGGCCAAGAAAGCAAAAGCCCTGTTTTTTTTTTCTTTATGTAGGAGTTATTTTAGGCCTAAGCCAATTTTTCATTTATTCTTCCATTCACGGGAAAGATTTTATTTAAGTTCAATTTAAAGTTGTATTGCCCTTGCAGAGGATGTTTTTGTTTATGTTTGTCTAAATATTTGTACATATATTGAATGTCAAAAGAAAAACATTAATGATAAAAGGGATTAATAAAAAAGGATCGTGCGGAACTGAATTTAAGGGATAAATAAGTCTTTATGTAAATAAAAGTAGATAAATACAAATCTTTGTCTTATTTAATATCAATGGCTAATGGAACCCCAAAATGTAATATAATATATATGTACAACGCAAGAACGCCTGTATAGACTTTCAAATACATTAACGCTAAACAAAATAAGTACAATAAGGAAAATTACGAAATAGAAATGATATTTCTAATGCTTTTGAAAGTTGCTGGTTTCTGAATATTTACATACATATTTAATATGTACATCAAATGATTGGGGCCGCCGAAATAGAACAGATCTCGCTACTATGAATTGAAATCTGTAAGGTATACTGTTTCGTGAATTACATATTTATACGGTGTTTGAAATGCATGGGATGCTATCCGTGCATGGATAGAAATTGTTTATATAAGTTTTGATTCTAAATTATGAATTTTATGAAATAAATAAGACTGATATATGTATATTAAATACGTACATATGCTATAATGTATTGGATCGTAAATAACTTTATGCTTTACCGACTGACAATATTTTGTATATATATATATATATATAATTTTTTTGTTTTGTTTTGCTAGTTGTTTGTTATATGTATATCACAAGTTTGAAGAGAGTAGAAAGTGGTGATTTAACTACTATTGGCATAAACCAGCAATTAAAACAGATTTGCTTTCAATTGCTTTTAACCGAAACAAGACAATTATCGTTATGGCATTCAAAGCTACGTAGCATGTACATACATACGTATGAATAAAAAAATGATTGCTTTAGCAATTGATGCCATTTAGGGTTGCACTGCAACTTGGATGGCGAAGAGACGACACAGCGACACTGTTAACGCTTCCCTCTGGAATTGAGTTATTTTGCGAATTATTGGGATCTTCAATAGAACGAAAACGTAGAAATCCTTGCTCGGTCACTAACATGCTGTCCGAAGCACTTGATGTCGTGCATGAATTGGATGAGGCTGATGCAACCGAAGCTGACGAAGTAGCACTCAATTCGGAACGAAGCTTTCCATTATTTTGTACATGCAGATGTGAATGTTGAAGGATCGAATTTTGATGTGAATGTGGGTGTTGCGACTGTGGGTCATGGATACGATTTTTTGCGATTGCAGCCAGTGCAGCTTGCGATTTGTTATTGCCAATTGAGTTTTGAGTGTTGATTTCGCCCGAAATGGCCAAACCATTCTCGTTGCTAATTAAGTTTGTGCACTCCACATTGCTTCCCGATATCATGTCGTCCTCTTCCTCATCTTCTTCTTCGGAATTACGATCGTACGGTAGCTGCTGAAGCTGATGTTCCTTAAGAGGAATACCATTTATCGGATCAGCTTGAAATGGTGTTAAGTCTGTACCAGCTTGTAATGACCTTCCGTTGGAGGAGCGCTTACTTCTCTGGTAATAGTGGGCTCTCTCTGAGAGAGCTAAAGTCTGTACTCCGTTAGCTATCATTCGCTGGCCACCAACAGAAGATAATGGCACAGCCATAGCTCGACTTGGCGTAGGCCCTCCTAATGTCATGCCTCCGTTAACAATACTGTTCAAGGTACCGCTTTTGCGCACACCGTTGAAAAATCCACGCTCATATGAATTATAGCTGGCATAACGCCCGCCCCCACCATTCGATGACGAGCAGGAGTTTGTTGAGTTGGAACTTCGACGCTCGGTATTCTCAAAGCCGTTACGTTCGAGCGATGCGTTCAGTTTTCTTTCCCGACTTTTAGCTATCTTGAGCCGGTCATGATCACGCTCCGGCCAGCACTCAATGTTGGGTTGCAGTTGGACATTGTTTACAGATTTCTCTTTAAACACGGGACGTTCGAAGTTGTTGAATTCAAATCTAGAGTTATTCTCCTCAAGTGGTTCCGAGTAACATGTGTCGCTTTGCAATAACAAAATTTGTTGTTGTGAAGAGCCCGATCCAGACCCAGAACCAGGCTTAGAATTAACAACATTTTGGTCTAGTTTTTGGATATTTTCCACCCCTACAACTGATGAGCTCGTACGTAAATCAAAGTTTGGGTTTTCATAATGATCTGTTGTAGCATCAGTCATATAGTCCGTACTCATGTAAGTGGTCTGTTCATGAACTCGCATGTGATGTTGATGCTGGTGCTGATTCTGCTGTTGATGATAGTTTTGTGCACTTTGGGATCCATACTCTGCTATATTATGGTTAACAGCGCTTCTAATTGATCCGGTATCATACGGCCTCTGGTACATCGGCTCCTGCAACTGGTACTCGCAGTTGCGCCCACTCGGGGATGCAGCATTGGGCCCTATAGGATTGAGAGCATAGCTGTCATCGTATATGAGTTTTCCCGTCCGCATGGTATATGTGTGGAGATTTGTGTTGGCATTGCAAATGGCCGGATAATCAGTTTCAAACTGCTCCTGACTGGAGCTCGATGTACAGGGTAAAAAGAAGTTTGTAACATTTGAGTTGTGGCCGCCGTTTCCACCATGCTTTTCCCTAACTGCATTGCCAGCGCTACCGCCGCCAGTTTGGCCATACGCACCCATGGAAACCACGGGGCCAACGATGCGCACGTCCCCATTTAGGCCAGCTGGAACGTTTGGTGAATTTGGATCGATACTAGTCTTCAGGCCAGTCACCCACGATATTAGGGTTATTATCGCAATCTCTATAAGTCGCAGGGAGAACTGGTATCCCCATTGTAACCAATCCACCTCGACTATATTCGCTTGACGCGAAGACGAAATGCAAATGGCTCCAAATATCTGCAGAGCAGCCAGTAGCACAAACAGTAGTGCCGTGGCAATAGTGATGTGTATAGCGTACGATAGATTCTGATAGCCATGTATATAGTTCTGGGACTTGCTGCGCAAGATGCGCTTCAGTATTCGATATAAGTAGAGATACAGAAAACCCAGACTGAGGCATATGAATATGTAGATAATCTGACAGATGAGCGTTAGGACGCGTGGCGGTGGAGGTGGACTTGCCAGACTTGCCGATGATGAGATTGTCGGAGAAATTTGACTTTGCTGATAATGCTGACGTCGAAAGTACTGCTGTTGCTGCTGTTGCTGGAAGTACAAGTGATGGTTCTTCAGCGTATACGATTCGACGTAGTGCAGCGTAATGCAGAGTACAATGTGAACGCCGCAGCCCACGACGACGGTGAGGGGTCTTATCAAAGCCGAGTAACGATTGTTCTTATGATTCAACGACTTCAGAAAGAGGAATAAAATGAGCACAGAAAAGGCAACTGTTAAAAATGTGGAAGGTAGATTCAGAAGGAGCTCTGCGACAAATATATTAAAGGTTCCATGGATATTGTACGCATCATAACAGAGGAAAAATATCCGCATTATGCAAATCGTTATTAGTATGAGATGAATGCAAACAAAATACGACTGTGCGAAAAGATGTGTTAGCTTATTATAAGTGAGAAGTTTGTAGAGCGAGTACACTGATAATATTGTGAAAAGTACCACCGACAGGTATATATGTATGTTCCAGGCCCAAGTCCAGGTGGTGTGTGCTGATGCCGCTGCCGCAGCAGCAGCCTCGTCGCGAGCCCCGCCGCTTGGACCCTGACCCTGGCCCTGAATAGTCGAAGCAAATGTGGTAGTCGTCCTGCTTGTCATTTGCCCAGATTGGCCAGCGTTTGTGGTTGCGTATGAGAACGATGTAGCGGCTACATCTCCAATAGCAGCTGCAGCAGCCGGTGTGGTCACTGTGGACTGGTTTGAGTTATCGTAGAAGTCAAGCTGACCTGACAAATGTTTGCTTTGGTTGATGTTTGGACTGGCAGAGGCATTGTCTTCGGCATTGTCTTCGTTTGCCGAAGAGTTTTCGATCAGAACAATTGGAGAGGACGGTGGGTGATGGATGCTGGTGACCGGTCTCGGAGTTACCTGCTTCAATAGAACTGCTGGAATGTCACTTTTTTTACCATTTGATCCGAGAATGCGTCTTATATTTGGCAGCACCTCCTGCTTCTTATTAGGGCCACTGTAATCCACGTTCTGTGCACCTTGTCTCTTTGAACCAATCTGTTCACTCAAATAATCTTCGTTGCTGGCGGGCTGGCGGGCCGGTGTATTAAGAGCTTTTTTGCGATCAAGTCCGACCGTATCGAACACTGCATCTTGTGTGCTTGTGGACACAACAGGACTCTTGCTCTCCACACCATTATCATAACTTACATTCGCTATCAAAATGCCGTTGGCCTCGTTGCTGGTGCTCCCCAAATCAGGGGGTCGAATGGGTATCCTGTCCTGGCTGGGCATCAGGCTGGGAGGTGGAA